CTTTTTGTTGTTGAGGTTTTGCAGTTTCTTGCAGATTTTAGAGATTAGACACTGATCGGATTTGTCGTAGCCAAAAATTTTTTCCCAGTCTGTAGGGTGTCTTTTGACTCCTTTGGTGAAGTCTTGTGATGATTTGATTTTTAGGAGCTCCTAGTTAGCTAGTCTCTCTTCTGGTTCTTGTGCATTGTTACTTATGGTTCCTATTGTGTTTATGCCATGTATTAGGGCTCCTAGTGTTGTCCCTATTTTTTCTTCCATGATCTTTATCATTTTCGATTTTATATTCAGGTCTTTGATCCATTTTGAGTTAGTTTTTGTTCATGGTGTGGGGTATGGGTCTTGTTTCTTTTTTTGCAGATGGATATCCAGTTATGCCAGGACCATTTGTTAAAGAGACTGTCTTTTCCCAATTTATGGGCTTTGGGCCTTTGTCAAATATCAGCTGCTCATAGGTGGATGGATTTACGTCTGGATTCTCAATTCTGTTCCATTGGTCTATGTATCTGTTGTTGTACCAGTACCAGGCTGTTTTGACTACCGTGGCAGTATAATAGGTTCTAGAATCCGGTAGCGTGAGGCCTCCCACTTCGTTCTTTTTCTTGAGTAATGCTTTACTTATTCTGGGCCTCTTCCCTTTCCATATGAAGTGGGTGATTCTCCATCTCAATAAAAAATGCCATTGGAATTTGGATTGGGATTGCATTGTATCTGTAGATCGCTTTGGGTAGAATTGACATTGTCACAATGTTGAGTCTTCCTATCCATGAGCAAGGTATGTTTTTCCACTTACGCAGGTCTCTTTTGGTTTCTTGCGGTAGCATCTTGTAGTTTTCATTGTATAGGTCTTTTACATCTCTGGTTAGATTTATTCTTAAGTATTTTTTCTTCTTGTGGGCTATTGTAAATGGTATTGATTTGGTGATTTCCTCTTGGGTGAGTCTTCTGACTACTAGTCTAGTTCTCTATTACCAGTTACTTCTCTTATGAATAGAAACAAAGATGCTCCTTTTCATGTCTAGTGTTTAACATGATACTAAAAAAAAAAAAAACTCTTAGAAAAGGAACAGATCTTGAAAGTGAGTCCAGTCCATTCAGTTACCTGTCAGTTAGGACGGGTGATATTAAAAACAAAACAAAAAACTGCCTGAGGCACTTACCAATCCGAATCAGTAATGGTCATAAGCAGTCTGGTCCACAGACAGCCCTGCACATAGATACTCTTAGTGAAGACTGGGAATAACTCAATTTAAGTTGATAGTGGTTTGCTTTATTGCAGTTTATCTGTGTGTGGTTATGTGGTTTTAAGAAATACCAAATGATTCTTGTAAAGAAACCACAGATTGAAGAGAATATAATAAAGCAAGCATAAGTGGAAAAGAGCCATTTCCTTTACCTGTGACTCAGTCTGTCCCTTCAAGGGAAAGAGACCATTTTAACTGTGAATGAGAAAGTAACTGCTTTTCTAAAGGAACTCATCTTATGGAGAGAGTATTTTGAAAACTAATAGGAGTGTTTTCACCATTATATGATTGCCAAAAACCAGTGTTACCTATAAAACACTCATTTTTACATACTTGGAACTTAGAAAGATTCCAACCTATAAAAATATTCCAACAAGGATTGTTTCTGTGGATTTAATTTGTTAAAAATATAAAAATACAATGCTTTCCTATTAGTTTTTAACAACAACTAACTGACATCGTGAAAGATGGAAATTTACCAGCTGGATTTCAACAAAATCTTTGTTATTAGCAGATGAGATTGAAAAATGAGTATAATTTAGTAAAGAAGGCCACTTCTTCCATTTAGATAACCTTTCACTTGGATCTCCTTATTATCCTAATGAGTGGAAATGCTTTTTACAACTACGTAGGAAATAACCAAACCAAACTCGTTGCTGCCGAGTGGATTCCAACTAAGACATACAAATATAGCTGAGGAAAAGTTATAAATTAATAAATAAATACACATTCTGCAAGATGAAATCACTAGAAAACACAAGTGAATTGACCAAAAATTACTAGAGGTAAAAATGAACTTAGCAAATTGTTTTCCTAACTACAGCTCAAACTAGATTGAGAACTGGGGTCTTAAAAGCTTTTGAGCAGCCATGTAAGATACATCTATTGGTCCCATCATGTTCGGAGCAAAGGAGAATGAAGAAAACCAAAGACACAAGGGAAAGATTAGTCCAAAGGAGTAATGGACCACATGAACCACAGCCTCCACCAGCCTGAGCCCAGAAGAACTAGATGGTGCCAGGCTACCACCACTGACAGCTCTGACAGGGATCACAATAGAGGGTCCTGAACAGAGCGGGAAAAAAATGTAGAACAAACTTCAAATTTACAAAAAAAGACCAGACTTACTGGTCTGACTGAGACTGGAGGAACCCTTGAGACTATGGCCCCCAGACACACTGCTAACTCAGAACCGAAGCCACTCCCAAACCCCACCTTTCGGCCAAAGACTAAACAGGCCTATAAAACAAAGGGAGCCCTGGTGACGTAGTGGTTAAGAGCTTGGCTGCTAACCAAAAGTCCGCAGCTGAGATCCACCAGCTGCTCCTTGGAAACCCTGTGGGGCAGTTCTACTTCGGCAGCTATGGGTCCGAACCAGCTTGAGTCACCTGACAACAAACAACAACAACTCTGTTCTATAGGGTCGCCATGAGTTGAAATAGACGGCAATGGGTTTGCTTTTTGGTTTGGTTATAAAACAATAACACCTGCCCAAAAGCAAAGATAAGGCAGGAGGGGACACAGAGAACCCAGGGTGGATAAGGGAAAGGGGGAGAATGCTGACACATTGCAGGGATTGCAACTGATGTCACGAAACTATTTGTGTATAGATTTTTGAATGAAAAACTAATTTGCGCTGTAAACTTTCACCTAAAACACGGTAAAATTTTTTAAAAATTTAACAAAAAAAAAAAAATAGATTGAGAACTGCTACTACTGAATGATTCCATTTATAGGACATTTTGGAAAAGGCAAAACTATAGGGAGGGAGACCAGATCTCTGTTTGCTTAGGAGCTACAGGTGGCTGGGAGGGGACTTACCACAAAGAGGCCCAAGAAAACTTTTTTGGGCAAGAGAACTTTTCTAAGTTTTGATGCATGCCTTTTTCAGAACTCATAGAACTGTACACTAAAGAAAAGTGAATTTTACTGAAGGTAAAAATATCTCAATTGACTTAAAAAAAAAAAAAGATTGAGAAAAGGTGATTTCATTCCCCAAAGGGACAAAACCCATTATATATGTGGGTGTTCGTTTAAGTCAGAATACAAGATAAATGAAAATCACAGTGGAGCAATAAAGGAAGACACGAAGTAATACACTCGTCCTGGTTGGAAAGATTAAAGGCAACCACGGTGCCAACGGGCCCAGAAGGGCCCGAACGGCGATGTGATGATGATGGGTAATCCGACTGCACTCGGGCGTCAGGCTGGAAGCGGCGGTGGGTTTCTCCACTAGGGGCGCCCGGGCCGGGTACGAACTGGGCGCGGGCACGGAGGACAGCGGACACAGGATCAAGCTTGCCTGCCCCGGGGCGGGGCCTTGGGAGCTTGGGGCCTCGGGAGCGCGGGGCTGGCTGCGTGAGACCCACGTCCTGAAGTTGGGAGACCGAGGAGACAGTGAATGCGCGCGCCCGTCTCCTCCCCGCCCCGCCCCCCAGGGCAGGTCACAGATCCTTTCCACGCTCGCCGCCACGCTGGAGCGCGACCGCCCCCTGCCCTCCCACGAGCTGCGCTGTGAGACACTCGCATCTCGGCCCCGACTTGCAGAGTGCCCCCTACTCCCCAGCACCCCTCTATGCCAGCGCCCTCCTGCCCCCGAAGCTCGTCCTTTAGTACCCCTTCCCTTTCGCTCAACTATTCTTCTCAGCAATGGCCGCCTCGCGTGACGCTGAGATCTGGAAGGATATGCAGGTGAGAGTTACAGGGCTTGGGATGGAGGCGAGGTCTGGGCTAGGTGGGAGCCCTAGGCCTATAGAGGCCCAGCCCACGCCCCTGCCCCCGAGGACCCCTGGGTCGGGGGCAGAGCAGGATCTGTGCTTCGAGCTTTGCAGGGAGCAAAGTCCGGCCAGGCCTGTTGGGGCGGGGTGGGGTAGGGGAGGCACACGAGGAGCCTTCGGCCTGCTGACACACCAGTTCCAACTATCTCTTCTTTGCCCTCTCCACCCCTCACCCTGTCCTTTGGCTCTGGGTCAGACCTACTACGGGCAGGTACTGAAGAAATCGGCGGACCTCCAGACCAATGCCTGTGTCACTGCAGCCAGGTCGGCCCCCAAGCACATCCGGGAAGCCCTGCAGAATGTACATGAGGAGGTGGCCTTGAGGTAGAGTGCTGTGTGCAGCCCCCCAGGAACTTGAAGACTTCAGCCTGCAGCTTTCTCTATCTAACCTGGCTTGCTTTATCGATTGTAAAACTAAAGCACAGCACTGATCTTTTTGCTTCCTTGCTTAAGATCTTCCTGGGACGGCCTGGTGGCGCAGTGCGTTTGACTGCTAACCAAAAGGTCGGCGGCTGTTCTAAACCACCAGAGGCTCCAGGGAGAAAAATGTGACAGTTCGCTTCCGTAAAGATTACAGCCTTGGAAACCCTGTGGAATCACTATGAGTTGGAATTGACTCGCTGGCAGTGGTTTATTTTTTTAAGACCCTCCGGTGACACCCTCTCTCACTACTCACAGGATACATTCACCCTCCTTGGATCTGACATTGGAGACTGTCCGCAGGTTCCTCCCTTCCTGACCAAGCTTGACTCCCACCAATTCACTACACCACTGTAGCCAAACCTTTCCCTTCCTCACTGCCAGCAGCACTGCCAAGATGATTTCTGCCTGCCCAGCACGCAGTTAAGAGTGCAGTGGTTAAAGCACCTGGCTGTTAACAGAAAAGTTGGTGGTTCCAACCCACCAGCCACTCACCGGGAGAAAGATGTGGCAGTCTGCTTCCAGAAAGATTATAGGCTTGGAAACCCTACGGGGGCAGTTCTGCTCCGTCCTGTAGGGTCGCTATGAGTTGGAATCAGCTCCACTGCAACAGGTTTGGTTTGGTTTAGCATGTGCATTTGCCAGTTTGGAATGCCTTCCCTCTCCTTTCTACCTCTCCAAACCCTGAACATTGTTCAATGCCTCAGTGATCTCCTACTCACTTCATGAAGCCTTCTCCAACTGAGCACCCCCTTCCCTAAACTGCTACAGCACTTCCTGTCCATGCTACTCAGTTTGTCAGTAAATCAAGAAAAATGTTTTCTGTGCTTATGTTTTCTCCCCAGATAGAATAAATACATCTAGGGGACAGAAATCTTTTATTTCCTCCCCAGTGACTCGCTCAGTCCTGTGCTTGAATTTTTTAGATGCTCAGTTAATAACTAAGTTTATTTATTCAATAAATATTTTAGATGGCTTATTAAGTCTTGGTACCTGTCATATTGCCCAACAATAAAGTGGTAAACAGCAGATTTAGTCCTGGCCTTCACAGAGTTTCCAGTTTAGCGGAGGAGACTAAACACCCAAATAGAAATATGAATGAATGATAGAATGAAGGAAAGAAGGAAGGAAGGAAAGATTTGTAAGATTTAATGGTTCTACATTTTCTAGTCTCTAAACCAAAAACCAAACCTGTTGCCATCAAGTCAATTCTGACTCATAGCAACCTTATAGGACAGGTTAGAACTGCCCCATAGGGTTTCCAAGGAGCAGCTGGTGGATTTGAACTGCCAGCCTTTTGGTCAGCAGCTGAATGCTTAACCAGTTCACCACCAGGGCTC